AGCTGCAGAGAAGTACGATGCTTTAGAGTCTTTTTTTTTTTAATTTTTTATTGCATTTTAGGTTTTGAGGTACATGAGCAGAACATGCAAGACAGTTGCATAGGTACACACATGGCAGTGTGTTTTGCTTCCTTTCTCCCCTTCACCCACATTTGGCATTTCTCCCCAGGCTATCCCTCCCTACCTCCCCCTCCCACTGGCCCTCCCCTTTTCCCCCCAATAGACCCCAGTGTTTAGGCTTTAGAGTCTTGTTATTCAAAGCCTGGTCCTCTGACCGACCTCATGAGCATCACCCAGGACCTTTTAGGATTTCAGAATCCCAGACCCCAATCCTGACCTCAAGAATCAGAATCTTAAGATTTTCAAGAGATTCCTATGCACACAAAGCTCTGAGAAACATTGCTTTTGAGTCCCAAGAATCCGGTTTATACAGAAGAGCAAGCTATTCTGAAACACTGCACTGTTCATGGCTGTACGGTTCCACGAGAACACATTTCCACGTGATTTCTGGAGTCATGGTGCTATGACTGCTTTTCATGTCAAGTTTTCTAAAACCAAATGTGGTTTCAAAGGTAATACAAAGATTTAATTTTATTTTAAAATGTCTATTTTAACTTTTAAACACTGTAGATGAAAAACACCTTCAAAGTGCCTTGATGATTACCAGTGCATTCAGTTATGCTGTCGAGCTAACATTTTTTAGATTTGAAATAAAATTCTTCCACTATCCCTGCTTAAGTAATGCACATACACTACAAAGTAAGCTACTACAAATAAACAAATCTCGTACCATTTGCAGTTTCTTCTATTTGTGAATCTCAAATTTCCCAATGCTTTGCAGTTAAAATCAAGTTCAGAAATAAAAGGGATGCTATGGGTAAAATAAAAGTGCAACTGTCATCCGTAGCCCTGGAGTGAACTGTGACATCCATCTAAGCAGCCACTCTGTCTATGTGGATTTATTTCACATTAAGTAATTGCAACCCACTTGACCTTCCAAAATACAGCTTTCGTTGTCTTATGTATTGTCTTATGTTATTTGAATAAAATGCATTTTGACTCTAAATCATTTTGAAAGGCTGTAACTAAAAGTATGATTCTGACGGAGAAGGTGGAGCCATCTGGACCCCGAGTTAATTTGATGTATCACTTCTTCCGGAGTCCTTTGATCACAACACATTGCCACCTGTGAACTTCTCCCCTGTATCACCCTGATCCCAGTCAAGTCATTCTCAAGTAGAAGCAGTTGAGTCATCTTGATTCATTTTTGATGTGAATCAAACTTTCAAGCTAGGACATGCCATGAAACAAATTACACATTCCCTGTGGCCTACTAAAAAAATTAGTTTGTTAGAGCAAGAGTCTGGATTTGAGAATAAAATCATAGAAATAAATAATGTATATTTCTCACAGTAAAAGAGATATTTGTTCTAAAATTACTTCAATTTCTTTGTGGTGTAACTTTCTAGCATTGAATTCATCCATTCTTTCAGTCAATGTGTCAATAGGCGGTTACTGAGTGTGCACCTAGTTACATAAAAGATTGTAAGATAAAAACCCCTAATTGTAGGAATCTCAGTTCAGAAGAGACAGGTGCTCAACAAACCATTACTAAGCAATGTAATAAGAGTGTATTGGACGTAGGTTACTGGTTCTAGGAAATAATAGGAAAGGCACTGCTAGGTTAATTAATATTTTATTTTGCTTGGTAACTGGCCCTATCTTTTTAAAAAATATGTATGGTTATAGGGTTTGCAATTATATTTGAATCAAGTTGGTTTGGAAATAAAGCATTTTCCACCATTAAGAATTACAATGTCCATAATCATCATAGGGAGAATGTCAGTTTTAAAAATGAGAACTGGCTGGGGATGGTAGCTCATGCCTGTTATCCCAGCACTCTGGGAGGCTGGGGCAGCGGGTGGATCACTTGAGGTCAGGAGTTTGACACCAGTCTGACCAACATGGTGAAATTCTGTCTCTACTAAAAATACCAAAATTAGCCAGATGTCATCGTGCATGCCGGTAAACCCAGCTACTCAGGAAGCTGAGGCAGGAGAATCACTTGAACCCAGAAGCAGACGTTGCAGTGAGCCAAGATGGCACCACTGCCTGGGTGACAGAGCAAGACTTTATCTTAGAAATAAATAATAAAAATAAGAATTATAAAAAACAAGAGAAATATTAAAATTCCATCTAAATACAAAAAATACTTTTAAAGAAATCCTTAATACTGAATTTTGGAAGTATAGTTGGACCTCTATATTTGTGAATCCATCTGTGAATCCAACGAATGGCAGATAGAAAAGAAACAATAAAAAAAAAGCAATACAATGATAAGTCTAAGTAATCTAGAGATGATTTAAATTATATGGGAGGCTGTGCATAGATTATATGCAAATACTGTACCATTTTGTAACAGGGACTTGAAAATGCACGGATTGGTGTAGAACAATCTCCCCACAGATATGGAGGGACGACTTGTATTCATTTAATCTCACTTGATGGTATAGGCTTTTTGCATATGTGTAAGAACACAGTAATCTTTTCTATCATGGAGGTGATTTTCCACTTTGCCCATTATTTACACCATATTTAGATGCCAGCCTGGCTTTCTTTTGCTACTCACTACACTTCTGCACTACTTCTGAATTAATTTATATAATGAGCTAGTGTCAATTACTTTCAATATTAGGCTGAGCTAATATTAACCCACAATAATTTAGAAAGTAAATATACCATACAACATTATATACATACTGAATTCCAAAACTAAGTATCAAGGATGTTTTAGTTTTGTGTCATTTGGAAGTGTCTAGCTCATTGCTTCCTTCTACGATACAGAGAACCACCTGCTCTGGATGTAAACACCTTCTGCCATGTGTGGCTGGATGCCTCAGTGCCCATACAACATAGTGGCTATAGGAAAGGTGGGACCACCTACTGCTTTCACTCTTCCACCTCCTTATCACCTATTCTGCTAGGCATGATATTCAACATTTTAATAATAAACAAACAGCTCTTCAGGCCCAGGCAAAGTGTTCTGAACTTTATGAAGTACTTTATTTATTATCCACCTGTAACTCCTCTACTATCCAAGTTTCTATAGCATTTCATATCTCTTTTAAGACCTATCAGATTCTTCTGGGTTTGCATTTTTCATGAATCAGATCCCCACCCCACCTCCACCCAAACTGTAAAATCAATGGAGATGAAGCATCTTTGTAGCCTTGATAACACAGAGCCCAAATTTTATAAAAAGTAAGTGTCTATTAAACTTTGGGTGAATTTTCCATTCCTCAGGATCATTCAACAAGATGCTTTTGTTTATATTGTATCTTTCCCCAATAATGTTTTCTTCCTCTCGTTTTCTTCTCTTGCAGTCCTGTCCATTTATTGAGTCTCAACCCAAAAACTTCTGTGCCCAAAATGTTCATGTGATTCCCCGTGTGAAATCCCATAGTACTTTATTTGTCCCTGCGTTATGCTGTTTTTCACTTCTTCCTTGCACTGCAGTTTTCATACATACGACATCTACTTCTATGTAAACTATAAGCTCTTCTGCAAGGCTGTAAATACAGTGTTAGTCATCTGTTTCCCATAGTGCTGTGCCTAAAGTAAGGGCTCAATCAGGGTTTGTTGCAGGAGTAAAGGTTAGTAAAAAATTTGTGGAAGAACAGCACAGCTACTGAGAGCCGGCAGCTCCATGCCAAACTGAGCCAACCCCTGCTACAGATGGTTTTAGGCATGGCTAATGTTAAATTGGGAACAGGAGTTGGAGATTGCTATTGCTGAAGGCAGCTCCATCAGATTTCATAGCAAGGAACTACTAGGGAATTATGATAAAGGGGTTGCTTGCAGGATGGCTTTTTATCTGTCCTTTCCTGTGACCCATGATTATAGATTCTGCTATTTGAATCTGGAAGATTTTTCCTATTTTTGACAATTCCCTACTAAAGTCTGGATGTCTTTTGTGAATACTGGTACATCACAATGAATACCTTTGTTATCTGTGAGCATCTTGAGCAGGATTATTTTAAAAAAGCATGTCGTGGGGTAAATGAAGAGAGGAACTGATGTGAGATGAGGGATGGAACCAGGAGAAAGGAAAGGGTTTGTGCCATCGAAACAGAGGTGTTTGAGGACAGATTTCAACCCCACAATTTCTGAGGGACAGTCCAGCTGTGCCCTGGAGGCTGTTTTCAGACACCTGCAGCTTCCATTTGTAGGCCCACTATTTCCTGCCTGTTAATTAACTATGAATACTTCAGGAACATTATCTCCAAACCTAAAATTACTTGTAAGATAGAGATCATTGTCCTATTTTTCAAAGGTGAAAACTAAGGTTCAAAGAGATTAAGAAGTCACTATTAGTTATCTCAATGAAAAGATATAAATTTGAACACAAACCCTGTGTTTTTCCCCCTGTGTCATGCTTGCTGCTTCTTTAAGCAGGCTGCTTTTATTATCCAGTGGGAAATAGGGAGAGGTGTTCAGAAGACTTAGAAATCCTTTCTTTCTCGTTTAGTTTATTTTCATTGCTGTTGTCCTGGCCTTATTTCAAAACCTCAAATTGCTATGAAAAACGTGGTGATGCCCCTCTTTAAGTCAGTCTTTGACTTAACAAAGAACAGAATAAAATAAGAAATAAGACAGCTTATCTTCTATCTTTCATCAGGAGGAAACTAAGCTATTGTCTTCGTTTTGGGGTAAAAGAAAAATAAAATGAATCTGTGATATTCAAATAAATCCCTCAGTTGTTTGTTAGTGTCTACTGTTTACTCAGAAATGGGAAGCAGCAGGCCTGTGATACATCATCTTTGTTGCGCCTGGCACCTCCTATCATGAATCATATTAATCTGCTTAAACTAACAAGGATTAATTACCTTGGTAAGGCAACCTGGCATTGAAGTGATATATTGCCCAGACAGCTTGGAATTTGGCCACTCATAAATCTCATTTGTTGTTAGTTTATTTCTGTTTGTCTCTTTCTCTGACAGATGTGTGCCCAATCACTGTGAGCATGGTGGAAAGTGTTCGCAAACATGGGACAGCTTCAAATGCACTTGTGATGAGACAGGATACAGTGGGGCCACCTGCCACAACTGTGAGTGCCAATTTATCTCACTTTAATCTTGTAATTGCATGAGAATCTCAAGTTTTCAGCTGTGCTTTAAAGCTCAGCAACCTGAATAATCCATGTAATACATCACTCAAATCTGGAAAACCAAGATTCCATTGTCATTTCTCCAAAAAAATAGTATTCTACTTGTTAAAATATGTTCTCTGGTGCCAATTGACTCAAAAAGAAGGTCCAACATTTTCACTGTTCCATAAACATGTAGTTGAGATTGGAAGGCCAAACTTGGATTCGCCTCTCTGTGTCTAACCTATGCCTGTTTGAGTGGATTGTTTGGGAAATTGTGATAGTGTGATGTCTCTGATGGACCCTCATTTATCAATTAATCAGAGAGGGATACAGAGTGTAATTGGAACATTTAGTTTCTGGATGATGACTGCCTCATGCTTTAGCTCAACTATTTGGCTACCTTTATTTAGATAAAAGAAATGAGTCTGAAATTGAATATCTAAAAGTTAATAGACATAAAATGTAAGAACGCAAAAATACATTTAAATGGCAAAAATAAAAAGTAACATGCAAAAATGATTAGTAAAACATAAATGTGCCTTGCTTTTTTATAATAGCTTTATTCCAAAAGGTTAAATAAAAATTAATTTTTTTACTTAACATTCTTAATTTAATGCTAACTCTATAAATGTAATATTAATTTTCCAATAATGCATCGCTATTTGTGAAACACTTTTGAAAACAAAGCACTTTTGAAAACAGATTTGGCATAAATCATAATTAAGAGAAGAGAATCAGCTGTTGGGTAGTGTGTACATCTGTCTGTGCCTGTGTGTGTGTGTGTGTGTGTGTGTGGTGTGTAGGGAAGGAAGAGTGAGAAAAAAAGAGAGAATTCAACCTTCCCTCAGTATGCCCAAACACTGAAACTCTAATATCTAAACCCTCTGATTATATGAATAAAACGCTCTTCATCTTACTTTTAGGAAATAGTGACAAGAAAACTATCTCAGAGTAGAGTCCTGGGCACAGTAAAAATGTCATACAGGTCTCTAATCCTTTCCATTGTGTTATTTGTAGTAATATGCAGCAAGAAATCATGTTTTGAATGTACTGCAAAATGTTGACTTAAAACGTTGCACACATTTATTTATTTAGGTAGATATTCAAAAACGAAGCAAAGGAAATCTTGACAAAACTAACAATGGGAAGATGTAAACAAGGTCAAAATAGACACAGTAGATTCATTATCTGTGTTTACATGTTTGAAAGTATTTTAATGAATAAAGAACAAAGAAAAGAGGTATAACTAAAATTGGGCCTTACCAATCACATCAAAATATTAACTTTCGGCATGCAACCTTCATTATATAAATGATGATGCTAAAATTACATAACTTTGATGAAACTGGGTACCTTCACTCCATTCGTATAATTTATATTGTGCATTATAAATACCATATTGAATCACAGGGATCTTGTTCCTGAAATACAGTAATGCTAACCAATGGTAAAGGGCAAGAACTCTGTGGTGGTTGCAAGAATTTTCTATCTCACTGATGACTTTTATAATGAATTGAAAAGCAAGTTATGCTTTTTTTATATATCTGCTTCCATCATTAAAATACACAGCAAAAATACGAAAAATTTAAAAATGTATGCTACTGGTTGAGTAGTTGAGGTTTGTTTTGTTTAAGGATAATCACTCCAAGGATTAGAAATATCTTAAGTGTGTTTAGTTTTGGCGCTAGTTGGCAGCTCAAAACGTTTTTAATATAGGAAAATTGTCTTTTGTTCTGCTGTTCCTTCCTACTTGTTCCTTGCTCCATGTTTTTCGGTCTTTAAAAGGAGATTCATATAATAAGGCTGGGCACAGGGGCTCACACCTGTAATCCCAGAATTTTGGGAGGCCAAGGCGGGCAAATCATGAGGTCAGGAGTTCAAGACCAGGCTGGCCAGCATAGCAAAACACTGTTTTTACTAAAAATACAAAAATTAGCTGGGCATGGTGTGCATGCCTATAATCCCAGCTACTCGGGGGACTGAGGCAGGATAATTGCTTGAACCAGGACCTGGGAGGTGGAGGTTGCAATGAGCCCCTGCACTCAAGCCTGGGATACAGAGAGAGGCATCATCAAATAAATAAATAAATAAATAAATAAGCCTGAGCTTTTGTTGTCTTCTCCAAATGAAGCCAAAATTTTGAATATCAAACGTGTGCATAAATAGAGGTGAAGAGACCATACTGCATAATTCAAGAGAGGGTTGGCTGGAGACTATTTTGTTTTGAAAAATACACATTGTAGCTAATTGAAGGCCATTTGCCTCCTAATAACCTGAAAGACTTGATACAGTCTTACTTACCCACATAGAATTGCTAAAATTTCACACAGCACATAATGTAAGAAGATATAATGTATGCCATTCAGTGACACAGAATGAACAATTTTACATTTTTACTAAATCAGTAACGACATTCACAGCAAGAAGATCAAATTCAAAAGACCCCAGTTTCTGATGTTTCTGACACTAGCTATAAAATCGTCAGGTCATGTGCCTTTGTGGTAAATCATTTGATTTTTCTTGGACTTTCCTCAACTGAAGTCTCCTGGCTTTCTGAAAGCCAATGAGCTGAGATGTGCAGCTGCTTATTCTGTGTGCTGTGGGTTTAAACCTTGCAAGTTATGTAAAATATTCTGCTTCATTATTTTCTGCAGAAGACCAAGGATTCATCTTGAAATTATGCTAATTATTTAAAATAGTATTTTTTAATTAAAAAGAAAAGTAGCTAACTAAAATCTAAAGTTTAACATGACCAAACATTTGTTAGAGTTTCAAACATTACAGGTTACAGTATTTTACCACACTTTCTACAGCAGCCCAGGCTTGGTCAAGCTGAGGGCATTATGAGTGCCCTGTGATCATCCAGGCTAGAAGCTCTAGTTCAAGATGAAACAGAGAAACCCTTTTGATTGTTCACACTGCCTTGCATTGACTTTTCTAACTTGTACCCTAAGCCATTTCAATTATTTGAGCCTCAGTTTTCTTCTGTATGAAATAGATAAGTAACAGTGCCCACCTCATCAAGCCATTGAGAGATGAAATGAAATGACTCACTGAAGATGCTGAGAAAAACTTTGGCATATGTGGTACTCAGTAAATTTTTGTCATTTCTTCACTTTCAGAGCAGTTGTCCTTTTGCTCTAAACTTTTATACCAATAATTGCTCAAATTACACAATTTGTCTCTTAATTTCATGTCACCATACATTATTTGCTGTCACTTTTATGGCAGATTTTGAACGCAGTAAATGATGGGTTTCCATAGCATTTTGCTCCGGAAGAATTTAAGAGCATTAAGAGAAATCTGATACTTCCTAAACCTATGTCTCTTTTTTTCATTTGTTGGTTTGTTTATACATGATGACTTTGTTTTTACATAAATTATCTGTAGGGCTTAGAGGACTGTCATTCATGAACCAGTCCCCTGAGGAGCCAGAATGTCTCCCTTTGAGTTGAGGAGACAATCCCACAAAGCCAAAGATCACAGAAGATAGTCACATCACAGGAAAGGGAAAGCCAGTTTTTATTGTTTAAAAACAAAAGAGGTTAGTTTGTGACAAAATGCAAATACATTAAATTTTTGCAGTTTTATACTTGAAAAAAATGTTCTTATATAGGCATTCCACTCCCAATAAATCTCTTAATAACTGGCTAGTAGCATATCTGAACATCAGATCATGACTAGAGACTAAAGTGATCATGTTGAATAGTTTGTGTGTGTCCATTGAATTGACATATCCCTGCTTCACTCTCCCAAAAGCACTGTAAGAATGTGTCTTTGTAAAAAAAAACTTCGTTTCTAGCTGTAGTCTTTCCTCTTAACAGTGCTGTATAGATACGTTCCAGCTGTTCTCCAAGCTTTGCAATACTTCAAATGCTCTTTAGTATCTAATTATCACCTTGTTTTTTACACATATGTTCCTTACACTTTCACAATTATTTTAGATCATTTAGTTTATATAAATTAAAAAGACCATCCCTTATCTCAAGGCTTTCTTATCTCCTTAATATGCTGCTGGGTCCTCTCAGACTTCAGTCATTCTTATATATATTATTAGTTCCTGATGTGAAACTGCTCTAAAAATTCCTCAGCATATCCTCAAGAATATAAAAGCTTTTGGCTATTAAACAAGTGCAAGAGGTTAAAGGATAGTATTTTAGTATTTGACAAAAATAAGCAATGTTAGCCTTGGAAATGTATTAAATGCCATATATGCATTCTGACAGGCAATGTTTTTGCAGATCTTTTTATTAAAGTAGAGAGTTTCACATTGCCCCAATATATAGACCTAACATTTCCACTGGAAACAGTAGGAGGTAAACTAGATGACCTATATAATTCTCTTTTAATTTTAAAATCACAAGATTTTAAAAAAATGTGAAATACTAGTAAAGAACAGATCCTGAGGTTGCCAAATAAAGCAAAAGTAAAATGTTTTCTAGCCAATGCTAGAGAAACATTTAAATGGAAAAGGTAACAGTTCTACATGCTGTATGCTGGAGCATTCCCTCTGGGTTCATCAGTGTATAAACCGTAAATTGTGTTGTACCGTATTACAGCACACATGAGAAGTGCAGTGGATTTCAACAGCACATATCATGTTGTTTATACTCCACTGTACCTATAAGTGGTTTAATTCAAAGAATAATTTTCAAAACCAATTTAATCCTACTTGCTGTAGTCACACTAACACAGGGCATAATGACCTACATTTATTGGCACAAAGAAACTTGGTGTCTCTGTCTGTTTGGAGTTTCTACGACTAAGGCATCAGTTATAACTTGGAGTTGGAGTATTGCTACAAAAACAGTCATTGGGTAGAATTATGTTGGGTATTGTCTTAGTCCATTCACACACTACTCTAAAGTCATACCTGAGACTGGATAATTTATAAACAAAAGAGGTCTAGTTGACTCACAGTTCCACATAGCTGGGGAGGCCTCAGGAAACTTACAATC